CCGCGACTCGGGCCGCGCGGGGACCCGTGTGACGGCGGGGCGCGTCCCTCCAGGTGTGTCTGGGGCGCGTCTGGCCCACCGGGGCTGAGCGCGGCGTCTCGTCCAGGCAGGACCGCGTCCCTTGTACTGGAACCGTCCGCTTCTGAAAAACTTCCCGTGCGGCCCCGCATGGGCGCGGCTGAACAGCGGGCCGCAAGTCGTGTGGGGAGACCAGGTCCCTGGCTGCTTGGAAAAGGGGAGCTGCAACTCCTGCCCTAAGGAGGCGAGCAAAGTCTGCCTCGTCCTTGTAGCAACCCTGCTGATGCGCTGTTTGTTTAAAATATTCCCGAGGCCCAGAACTGCTGGGCTCAGAGCATTTTGTAATGATACATGAAGAACAAAACAAAAAGGCTGCAGCCAGCCTCTGAAGGCAGGGTTGGGTCCCCTGGCAGAAGGAAGAGTAGCAGGCCAAGTATGGTAAACATGTCATGTTTGAGAGCAGTGCCACTAATGAACTCCAGCCAGAGCTGCTGAAATTCTGCTACTTTCTTTTCATCTAGCTCTTCCACCTTTTTCAGCTGCTGGTGGTTGTCATTTTGCAGTCTGTAGAAGTTGTAACCCCCCTCCCCATGCAGTATCTGTTATGCTTGTTTTTACATCACAGTCATGCTTGGCAATCGCTACAGGATCCAGGCCCTTTCTGTGCTTGGCTCTCTGCATGTGGGCAGGCTTGACTTTAGTATCCAAGATGTTATTAGTTTTGCTCAAAATTAAACTGCTGATCTGTTCTTCAAAACACAAGTCTCTCAGAGCTATGAATTTTTGTAATGGCTTCTTATCGGGAAGCCTTAGGGCCTTGGATACATGCCTGCCGGAGTGAGGGAGCAGCCAATCAGGGGTGAATATAAACAAACCAGGATAGCATGTGTGCTGAGCTGTCTTGTACATGGTTGGTCACTGCTGTATTTTATGCTCTTTCTCAACCACATATCAAAAGCTGATAAAGTCCCTCAGGGGAAAAAAGCATGTTAGCAAATGCCTACTGTTAGCATGTCAGAGGCATGACACAGAGGCTTCTGCTACAGAAATCATGGGACAGGCCCTCCGTGCAGTCAGCTCGGCCTTTCTGCAGGCCGAAACAAAGGGCTCCTGGTGTCTGAAAGAACACAGGATTAAAATAGCTTAGGAGGGGCAAGGGGTGGGCTGTGGAGGGTGGAGAGGGAGTCAGATGAGGCAGCTGCTGGTGCTGCTTGTTTTTGAGCTCTTTTCCACTTGCCCTTTTGCTCTCTCAGCTGACTGGCTGGCTGAGCCCTTTGCGGGAGGAGGGTTAGTGTCCCACACAACTGCATTGGTTCAGGCCTGAAATTACTCTGTTGAAGAAAGTAAATACAGTATGTTTTCCTCTGCAACAACAGGAGCAGGAAGTGATTGTTTACAGTGCAATGGGGAGGGCACTATGGAAAATACTTCCAGCCATGCAGGACTCCTAGTTTGTGTCCCTTTGAATGTCTCAAGCCTCTACAGAATTGGAACAGATCCAGCCAGAGAGCAGCAAGAGTCTGGGATATAGTTGTTTACTATGTGAGCAGAGCTTTCTGGCGTTTGGCACATGACTTGCTCTGTGCCCCCCCCTTGCTTGTTGATGCTGTTTGTATCTTGGATTTACGTAGTCTTGTAGAATACTCCACAACCCTCTCTGTGTCCAGTGATATACTTCTCCTCTACTCTGTGTTCTTAAGAAGATTTTGCCCTGGTCCAGAACACTTCTCTGTGGCAGTTTCATGCCTGTCCTGTTTGAAGATACCTTCTAGGGCAGATCAGATCTTTGTTAGATTCAGGTCTGTTTCCAGCCAATGGGTTTCTTTTAACAAGACACTGACTGAGCCATAGTTAAAACCAGGCAATTTTTTCCAGCTTTGTAAATCCTTCTTGGAAGCCTGAAAACATAATTTACTCTCCTTACTTGGGTTTGTCTGTTTCCTTTTGGCCTGTGTTATGACTTGAGCAGAGCTGTACCTGCCTGCTACAGTGCTGACTTTGTCTCTTTTTATGGACTTGATCCTGTATGCCCTGAGTTCAGTTATTTGTGCGCTTGCAGGGTCAGGCCTGGAGAACTAGAGTACATGGTGCTAATGAAAGGTGCCTGACCGCTCTGACACCTACAGCAGAGGTGCAATGTGGCAGCAGGAGCATGAGTTCCTTTTGTGGAGCTCCACTGACATGCTTCAATCCTGATCTGAAGGTGGACATTGCTTTATTTTGGGCCAAAGAGATTAAATACTCTCTTGGCCATTATTCAGGCCTTGACACCTCTGCCAAAGCAGCCAGAGGGGCTGCCAGCAGTAGTGGTCTTTGTGAAGTGGTTGCTTGGAGAAAGTTCTGAAATGAGCTCATTTAAATTCAGAAGTTGAGCCAAGCAACTTGTGTTAATTTCAGGGTGGCTGTGTTATGGTCAGTTGTATCCTTTTGGGATACGGTCACAAGCTGTGAGAGGAGATTGTGGGAGCCCAGCTGTGCAAACCTGTTAACGATGACATGTTACTTCCTGGTGATGCCATTAAAGTTCCCCTCTGAACTGTGAAAGGAATGAACCCTTCAGGGTAGTTACTAATAGCACCTGGGACCACCTAGGAGCTGACTGTGCATTCACACTGGCTGAACTGTAGTGGACAGGCTGCCAGTGACTTCAGATCAGCTTGGTTAAAGGTGCACCCAAGTCTAACAGCTCATCAAGCTAGCAGGGATAAGGCCTGCTAGCTGCAATAGCCAATGATACAGAAGGGAGTGGTGTGGCCAGCATCACGGCCAGCTGCATCTGGAGCAGGAGTCAATTTGCACCTCTGGAGCAGGGGCTGTGGGCAGCCTTATCTGCTCTGCTCTCACCCTGTGGCAGAAAAGTTAAAGTGACACTCACTATTGAAGAATATCAACTTTCAATAACAAAAAGCTTCTCCTATGGGTAACCCACAAGGTGGTACCCATACACAAACATATCAACCTTCCTTAGGCACTTGGCAGGCTGTGTCATGTGTTTCCATGCCACACCCACTTTTCTGAATCCCCCCTTCTTATATTTGGTAAAAAAAGTAACTGGATTCAGAAAGCACTTGCAGCCAAAACTGTCCTATGAGAGGATAACAAAGAGAAGATGCTCCTTGGTGAGTCTTATGTTGTGGGCCTTGTATTTACCATGAGGAAACCTGGCTTGCAAGTAGTTCTCAGCCCACCTCAAAACACCTGAAAATCCACTCTCTTCATGTGTAGTGTTCAAGCCTACTTCAGAACAGTAGCATAGGAGAAAACTCGCATTTGATGAGCGATGTCTCCTTGGAATAGACTTTTCTGTTGCTTTCAGTTTAGACAGTGCATTGCAGTAACTCAGTACAGAATATTAAAACCAAGCTTGTTTACATAGATCTAATTATATTAGTGGCCATGGAGGGCTTTAACATGCTTTTACAGTGTATAGTGCAAGGTTGATGTTGGCAAACTATGTTAGAAATGTGTTTAGTTTTTCTTGTACTCGCTTTCCAGCTAGACAAGTGCAATGTGAATATCAATTTTTGTCTGATAACAAAAGATGCAAACTGACTGCCAGGAAAATAGGCTGGACTATTTTGCATTTGTTTCTGGGAGGTGCTTGCAGCAGATAAACAGTCTTGTCAAGCCAGTAAGGAAAGGGTGATCCACTGACTAGGATTCTGTTCCTGCTTCTGTGCGCTGGAGGGTGTGTGGCTCCAGTCTTCTGCTTTGCTTTCTCCATCTGTAAAAGGAAGATAATGCTGTCCCCCCTCTGCAATATAAGTGGATCCCTAGATAAAAAGGACAACAACTACAGCAATAATTGTCAGTTGTGAAGGAATTACTTGATGCCTTTTGTGCTTGGTTGGAAATAGGCTGGGGATGCAGAAAAGAGTAGTTTGCATAGGACCTTTAAGGACAGATTTGTTTGTTTGTTTGTTTGTTTTTTAAAGCAGGAGTTCCCACACGGGCCTTGTTCACAAATATGCCTGGCCACATGCATACATCTACAAGTGGAGTAGCTGAGCTCACTTTCACAGTAGTGGAAGTGTGAATTCTTCACACATGGAGTTGAGCTTGAGTGCTTTCCTAGCCCTAGAAGGCATAGGATTGCTTTGTTCCCTGGAAGCTGCTGGAGTGGTGGGGGTTGTGTACTACTACATGTTATGTCTTTGTTTTCTAGCTCTTAAGCAGCCTGTTTGGAAAAGTTTTCAGTTGGTTACAGGCTGCCTTGCAGAGGTGATGTTAAAGCTGTTACCATGGGGAACAAAGACTGAGGAACATGTCAACTTACAGCTGCAAAAGTCACTTGCAGAAAATAACCTTCTAGCATTTTGGAGGGAGGGAATCTTGCCATTCCTGTTCCAATGCAGCTGAACAGTAATAAACACTGAGCAAAGGACCAGTTACTCTGCATCTGGGACGTTTTTGTAACTCATCCAAATCCAGTGCAAACACTGTGCAGAAAGCACTGGCTCTTGCCAGCCCTGCCTGGTGAGAGACCCAGGGGGTTGTGCATTCAAGCTTGGCTCTGCGTGAGCCATCTGTCTGCTCATGCTGCAGTTCTTCCACATCTTAACCTCTTCCTTTGAGTGTTTCCCTTGTAGAGAGCAGAGCTGTCAATTGCTACCCAGACTTACTCCATGATATCTCTTGTTATGGGGTGTTAAGGATTCTGGCAAGAAGAATTAGCCCCTATTTTATTAACTGTGTTTTAAGATGAAATGTGTTATTAATCAACGGGCCAGTGGTTTCTATACCTATTGGAGTACACCACACCCATCCTTTTCCTAGCATTATCCTGGATGCTTCCAGCTCCTGCAGGCTGCCTGCCAACAGCTGAAATGAACTGAAGGGAAAGCTTATATTCTCAAATGCTGTGGGCCTGATGAGACTCCCACTGGTTTATGAGGGAGCTGATTTCACTGCGAGGAATCTGGTCCTGTGCCACTCCCACTACTGCAGCATCCCCCTCTTGCTCTCTTACTCTTTCTTCTCCCTCCTGACTCACAGGGCAGCAGCAGCTTGTAAATTGTCTTTAAGCAAAGGGGCA